TGTGTGTGTGTACATATACATACATGTATGAAATACAAAAATATAAACCTAGATTATACATTTAAGAAGCTTATTCTACATATAATTTTATGAAATTTTTAAATTTTCTATTTTTTTCTTTAATTACAATATCATTTATTAAGAATAATGCAATGACGTATGTTGACAGGTTTAGATTCTGGCATAGATGTTATTATACCAGCCAGATGGGCAATGCCGTTTTGGCTTGCATTTTTAATGCAATGTGCAAGAGTAGGTGGACTTCAAGAATCAAGATCGATAGCTTTTGAAAGTTTGAATCCAAATACACCTGATGTCAATGATCCTGACAGTCCTGCTTACATGAGAGAAGCATTAATTACAAAGGAACAATTGACTAAAAAATATTTTCGTTACCCACCGAATAGAAGAATTAATTTTGTTAAGTTTGGAATTCGTAGTCCTTTCTTTTGCGATTGGAAAAATTTGATGAAAAACTGGTCGGGCAACGAAGATTTTTATGTTCTAAGAAATCGCGAAATCTTGCTACTTTTACAAGCAGGTATTTGTCCTGCCAAAAATAAAAATGCAAAATTTTTTGCTCGAAATACGCCATCTATTTTTCCAAATTTAGACGATTATAAAAATTGTTTAATACATATTCATATATCTATAGTGGGAAAAGGATCGCCAAAAAAATTTGCTATCATATGCATGCCGACATTCGAAGATTTGAACAAGATTAAAATTAATAAGAAATGGTTTGGACCTGTAGAAAAATGTCATAATGATCCAAACGAAAATATTCGTAAAGTATTACGGAAAAATCATTTGATACTATTAAAACGACTAAGACGACAAAGAGTTCGACGGAAGCAAGTGTTGAAAAACAATGCGTTAAAGTTATTAAAAGAATCCGACAAGTTAAACGAAAATGAACATATGATCGTTTCATCCCATCGTAAAATTATATCTGATCAACTGATAAAAATGTCTGAATTATATTTTCCAAAATGTGCAGAAGTTCGCCATTCTTGCGATAGAGAAGTTATGGGATATATAACACTAGGGGACTTTTCATTTAGTCAAGCAAAAGGTATTGGTATCGGGTATATCACATTAATTTCATTACTCGGAATGATTAACAAAAAATCTAACATCATTCTTGTCAGAAATCCTCAAACACGACAATACAGATTAGCAGAATTAAATATATTAGTTTGATATACAATGTATATATTATATTTATATTTTACTTGTATACTTTATACATACAATGTATAAAGCATGATAGATGTATACTCTCGTAATTTGTATGTTAATTATTGTATCTTCGAAATATATTTTCTATGAAATGTGTTATTTATGTACGTGCAAGATTTTTTATTTTTATTTATTATCTTAATAAGAAATTTTTTGGAAGTCAGTGAAGAATATATAGGGTGTCCCCGATCTACGAGATCGCCTCTCGTGAGCAAATAGAATGGACTGAACAGAGTCGAAAAATCCTTTATCATTTTGTAATGTTATAACGGAAATTAGCAGATAGACGCGTACTAAGATTCAATTGCACTAACGTTATTTTGACTTTAAGCGAAGCTTAAAAATCTCTTTTTTTAAAACCAAGATAGAAAGAGAGAGTTTTAAGTCACGCTTAAAGTAACATTGGTACAATCGAGTCTAACAATTGTAAGCTCCGTTTAGGGGTGCGTTGCATTCCGAGTTACGCAAATAATGCATAGATCATATTCGTATATTACTCCTAGTTACTGCCAATATTGAAAATATCTATATTTCCCGTATACACTGTACTAACAACTAGCGATAATATATGAACACTACCATAAAAAATCGTTCCGATTTAATCAATGTGCGCATTGAAAGCACTTTGGTAACGCTGAGAATTTCCTAGATTGCACTATCCATACCGAATTCTTAGCATTCTTTCCAGTGCATTGACTTCTTCTATTTTGACTTGAGATTGATGCATCTAATGTGTTCATGCAATCTATGCGCTTCGTGGTACTGTGATCCTTAAATGTATCAGAAATCCTTTTAAGAGCTCTAAAGAAAATTTTCTTTTTAATATATTATTAAGATTTTTTTATTAAACAAAATCAGATGCAAAAGTCTAAAAAATATGAATATTTGAGGGAGATATAGGCAATTGAAAGTGACTGTGCCATTTGCATTGCTGTGGTTTTGTCACGATTGTGGATGAACGGATTTAGAATTTTTCAATTTTTTTGTGCTACTTTGTTTATGAGATCCCTCTCTATAGACTGAACCTAAAATAGAAAAAAAATATCGAGATAATAATATGCGCAATGGCGATTAAAAATTTAAAAATATTGAAAAATTCATGTTATTTGCTGTTAAAATGAATATAAAAAATAAATTTTTCGTATACAAAAATAGATATTCTTGAGAAAATTTTAAGTCGAAAATTCAAATATCAAGACATCAAGATTATAATACCTTTTAAATTAATAGCTATTAAAGTTTACTATCACGGGGACCGACATTAATTCGTGCACTCAAACACGATATAACAAATGGTAAGGATATACTATTCCACGAGGGCTCTCAGTAACTTCAAGATCATACAAAATATATTATATATATATATTTTTTTTATACAAAATATGCAATGATATTTTTTTAGTAAGAAATTGTTTTTACTTCTGTACGAAATCGATTTGTATATTTACGTACACTTATTTAATATCTGAATGTACACAGGATATCAATTCAGTGGCGAAATTAGTATGAGTGCATGTCATATGCAAATCGATTTTATATACAAGCAATAAAACAATTTCCTAGTAAAAATATCATTGCATATTTTGTAAATGATTTTGAAGTTGCCCGCGTAAAGTAGGGTACCTTATCATATCATCATGCTTGAGCGCACGAAATGTCAGCTTCGTGATTAGTGAAATTTAATCGCTACTAGTTGAAAAAGTATTATAGTCTCGACATTTTCGTATTCGAATTTTCGACTTAAAATTATCTCAAGAATACATCCTAAAGGTAAAAACGATAGAAACGAAACACCTATATACATATATAATGTATAAAGGATATATATGGAAATTCTAATATACAGGGTGAGTCACCTAAGGTCGGCCATCTAAATAACATTCACAATTTTAGATATAAGAAAAAATGTTTCAGATAAAAGTGGAACGATTTCAAGGGAGATGTGTTTTGGGCATTAAATGTTGTGGTCTTTACGAGACATCCTATAATGTTTTTAATTTTTTTAAATACATTATATTGGAAAATAACAATTCAGAACATCAAATAATATTTTTGTAATATATATATATATACATATATATATATATATTACAATATATATATATAAAACTCTTACTTATAATGCATTGATCCGAAATCAGTCTCAATTTACCAATAGCCATAATTTGATCCATAACCTGGTCCATAACCATAGTGATTATGATAATGAGGATGGCTATGGTAGTGATACTCATAATTGGGATAGCTATGATATCCTCCATATCCTCCATATCCTCCATATCCTCCATATCCTCCATATCCATCAGCAAAGCTAAAAGAAATACAACATTTTCTTTGACTTTCATTTTCATTCTAATATCTTTAACGGACTTTCGATATAGTTAAACTTAATATGAAATCCGATTAGCATCGTAATCACATAAATTAAATTAATCCTCATATGTGTAAAGTGGGTTTTTTAATTAAGGAAAATTTTCAGGTAAAAATTTCAAGTAGCTATAAGTCAAGTTGCAATAGATTAGAGGGGGGATCGAAGACCCTAACTTAAAAAAATAGATAGAATATTACAGACTCGACCATAACGATTTTCGTCAATTTGCTGTGATCCTGCGAGCAAGTAAAGTCACAAACATTCCGTGAAATTAATGGACAACTGTCTATTAATCCGCTAGTCGAAAAAGGAATCTTTGGTACATTTTATTAATTTGTATATTTTAATCAAGTATGCGAAACAATTAATTTATCTTAACTTTAACTCGAAAAAAAAACTTGTTTGACTTCTCGCTTCTAACATCACGATTTAATGTAACTGTAGCGAGGATGCAGGAATTTTTACTTATATTTATAGATATATCCTAATTTATAAACTTGACGTAAAATCTGGTCTTCCTTTACTTTAGATATTTCATTTTTTTAGGCAGTTTCCTTAAGCATACTTAATTGACTCACTGTTTAGCCCCATACAATCCACCGCCAATAGCTCCGGCACCGAGAACTCCAGCACCGAGCACTCCGGCACCTAAAGCTCCGGCACCCAAAGCTCCAGCACCGAGGAGAGCACCACCCAAGAGAGCCTTTTTCAGAAATAAAATTGGCGCTCTTTTGTTACGGGATTGATGAGTCTCGGCCACTTCGCCTGATACCGCTTCCAGTTTCAGCGGTGCAACTTCCGATACTGCAGGTGCAACTAAAGTCCGTTGCAGATTCTGACCGTCTGCGACGGTGTGAGACTCCGCTTGAACGTAGATTACAGCCAACATAATAGTCAGCATCACGATGTACCTTATCGCCATCTGAAAGAATGTAGAAAATGATATATTCTCTTGTTATTTGTTGTTATTAGTTGATCTCTTATAAATTCGATCAGTACAATTCGTATGTACACTTCTATTTCTATAGTGCGCACTTAACTCCGCTATGTTACCGCTATGTTATTTTATTATAAATGTATATATTAAATACGATAATACGATAATGATGTCACAGTGATCATTATTTCAATTCATTTTTTATTCATGAATATTTTATCAAATATACTAAAAAACGTAAGTAACGATTGAGCTATAATTCTGATTTTATATCCTATATCTCATTTTTAGATAAAAGGATAATAATAAAGTTGGTTTTCGGCTCTATTTCAATTTCATTTTAAATTACCAGAAACCGTTTTATTATATATTGTACGAATTATCGAAATTAAGTGATTTTTTTATCTTAAACTATTTGACATCTGTTATCTTGTAACTAGTCAGCCCCACGTTTACCACCAATACTCCTAATCTTTTCGACATATCTATCTTTTAAACATGCGTGTTATCTGAAAAGTTTTTCTATCCATACTCCAGAATCAGTGGCATGGACTTGATGCTTCAGAAATTGATTTGAAGTAGCACGCCTATTGTCCTTATAATTACATTTTTTTTTTAGTAATGCGGATGAGCAACATCGTTACATTTCTTTTTTTTTAATGTTAATAACGCAATTACATTTTATCATCTTTATGTCCCTCTCCAGCAAACGAGAATGGATTGAAATGAATTGACATAAATTTTCAGAAATATTGATTCACGAATGTTAAATGAATGCTTTTAAATCCTGAATGTATTTTATTTATTTATAAGAATTGCATGCAGCATATCTCTATGCCTTTCGGTCTAAAATAATATTAGCTTTTTTGTGTGCATTGTGAATACTGTTCAATTCAAAATTTTGTATAGGCAGTTTTTCAATCCAATTGCATCCAATTGAATTTAATTAAATCCCAAAAAAATATTTGCTATTTAAAATACGCATTCGGATAGAAAAAAATTTCAATCCATTTTAATCCATTCTCGTTTACTGGATAGGCGAATTGGAACACGGAATTCTTTTTCAACTTGACAAAAAGTCTTGTCCCTTGAAAAGTTGATTAAGTTTGAATTATATTCTTCTTGTTTTAAATACAGATAACGTACCTTGCTGAGATCACGTTTTCGAACAAAGACTGACTCTTCTTGGAGCAGTAAATTCAAAGACTTTTATACGATGAGATTGAACTTGGTCGCCCCTACCACAAAAAACTTCTAACATTCCACGTTCTTGCTAATTCTCTCATACATCCATATTTTCCATTTGGATATACCTTTCTCACTGTCGGAGTCAAATCGATCGAAGACTCGTTTCCCTACGTGCTGACATTGAACAGTCTAGTGACTCGACAGGAATTTCGAGCGTAAAGTTGTGCTATCGAACAGATTATCATTTTTCTCCATTTAAGCTTTGGACGTCGTCCATTAATTTTTAAGATCAATATTACCCAGCAAACGAGAATGGATTGAAATGAATTGAAATGAATACAGATTTTCAGAAATATTGATTCACGAATGTCAAAATGAATGCTTTTCAATTCTGAATACATTTTTATTCATTTATAGGAATTTCATAGAGCGTATCTTTATGCTTTTCAATCTAAAAATAATATTAATTTTTTCTGTGCATTGTGAATACTGTTCAATTCAAAAGTTTGAAGTTTTTCAATCCAATTGAAATCTAATTGAATGCAATTGAATCCAATTAAATCCAAAAAATGTATTCGCTATTTAAAATACGCATTCGGATAAAAAAAATTTCAATCCATTTTAATCCATTCTCGTTTGCTGGGCGATCAAAAATGCAAAAATAGAAATCTTCCCTCCACAGATTTGAGATAATCCTCCATGTAAAAAGTTATACATAGATATATATTTTTTAAGAACAAGAATCTTTTAACAGCATATATGTACCGTTTGCATACTTTAAATATCTATGCTATGCAGAACGCATGTGAGAAGCTTTATTAAATCGGAATTAAAATTTATAAAATTTTAATGAAATAAAACTTATATATGAAATTAATATTAAAAATATTGTTTTTAAATATAATTGAGAAATTAAAAAATTTGTATTTTGCTTCGATATCTTTCTGTCATTACTTTTTGTTCTAAATGTTAGCTGTAATAACGATTTGTTAAAAATGTAAATAGGGAGAATTTAAAGCGAGAAAGCGAACGAATCATTACGACGATCATTGTGAAAAAATAAGCTATGTTCATCGCGACCTTGGTACATGCAAACAGGCGCGTCTCCATCTTTTTACGTAATGCATAATAAATGCTAGACCATAGAATTAACATAAGAATGTACACAGGGAATTCCGAATTTTATCCGGAACATTGGCTCTTTTTTTCTATTTTTTTTTATCTCCATTTCCATTTAGAAGTGCTATGAAATAATAATACACAGATCGAGAAAAAAGCGCTAAAAACTCAACAGTCGTTTATATATATATAT